CCTGTGCAGCTATTGACGTTTATATTTCTTAAGACTTCTTTGGAGAAGAAAATAAATGGAGGAAAGATCTAATCAAATTTTTGGGGCCCTAGTTCTGTTTTCCACATTCTTTGCATCAATACAACTTCCTTGGCCTCTTAGTGCCCTCCAGCATTGCGTTAGCAAGATGGGAACTGGGGCTTCTGATGGCCTGGAATATTTTTATATGTACTACAGTTCTCATTATGGGAACTGAGAAAAAGCTCATCACTACCAGAAGCCCCCAACTGGATTCCTCTTAATTTTATCAACTTTGTTGTGCTCCAAATTCCCCATTCAGTGTTCCTCTCCACCCCTTGCCGCCCCTGCCACAGGGACAGTCACAACGGGACTGTGCATGTATCTTAGGATACTCAGTTCTGTCTCGGTACGGCTGCTTCACTTCAGCTCACTGGACCAATGGGTTGGAGTTCTCATCTACACATACGAAGCAAGGCCTCCAACTTCATCTATGACACAGGTGAACAACCCCAAGGCCTTGCAGTGCTGTCACCTCATATGATTGTGTCTGTGTGCAAACGCGCATACATTTCATACAGCAATCTGAAACTATCAGGCAGAAACGACACAGGAGCCTGGCTGAGACCCATACAACTGTTATATTGGCGTCAGTCTAAAGAAAGCAATGATACATTGCTTTGGAAATTATCAAGAAATGTAAAAAATGCATTTGCCCTTTTTTTTGTTGTTGTCATCATCATTGTCGTAGTCATCAGGGGCAGGGTTCTGAGTCAGAAAACAAAGCAGAAATAGATGCAATTCTGTACATGGCGCCTCTCTGGCTGTCCCTCCATGCTGGGGTGTGGTGGGCAGGGTAATAAAACAGGCGGGACCCCTGCAGTAGCAGCAGCATCTACACCATCATCGTTCACATGTCCAGCTGAAGAGGCAGATGATGCAGAAAAGGTCTGTGGATAATGAAACTCCAGCTCTGGATCATGAGTTCCACTTTCTTCCCCGTCACGTCAGCCACACAGAAATAAGGAAGAAAAAAAGAAACGCACCCGGTGCAGCTGGCCCAGTACTGCCTGGAATAATGAGCAGGAGTGATATAGGGAGGAGGTTTGTTGTTTTATAAGAAATGTCTTTAGTCTGCAAGTCAGAGATGCTCAGTGGCAAACAGCAGATTGCTTTCCCCCATTCTTTCCTTTCCTTCCATGCCACTCTTCAGCCGTCAGATCCTTCAGAGCTTCCATCCACAGCACAGTGATTGTACCCACCATCCACTCCAATACACAGGGAAAGAAGGACACTCCAGGAACTAAATCTGCCCCTGCCTTCCCACCGTCCCCCAGACTCTACCTCACCTGAAGGAGGCAGTAGCTCTTTGCTCAGGCCTGTCACAATGTGTACATTGGAAGTACCTCAAGTGAAAAAAAAAATATACACCACCCTCCCCAGAAAGAGAAATTTGCACAGCTGGCATCAGCAATTACTAAATTTAACCCCTGCCCTTCAAACCGCGAAAGTCATCTGCATTCTCTGCTAGCCATGTGTTTTCCACTCTGCAGGACCTAAGGGGTCTTCCAGCGGGGAGCGGAGTTTCCCCTGGCCATTGTAGGCTCTGACCCCTGAGGGAGTCACAGCTTTCACTGGGAATGCGTGGGGCATAATCCTTTCCACCATTTTCCTTCCCGTCAGGAAAAATCCTAAAAGATGATGTCAGCTGTCAAGCATCCAAAATGCCCATTGCCACTACTAATTTAGATCAATACTTTGTTTCTCAGGAGCAGAGAACACCTCTATCTCCCACTGGGAGGGTCAGATGGACTTTCTAGTGGCAGAAAATGAGATAGGGAGCCCTTGCAGTGACTTCATTTTCAGAAACAGCCAGGCACAGCATTATTTCCTTTCAAGTAGCTTTGGAGCACATCAGTGCTAGCAGCAGCAAACTCCCAAAGGGAGATACGTTTGTGTGCCCATCTCCATACAGGCACGAGGGATGGAAAGGGTGAGACTGACAGACATCAGCTGGTTACTTTCTCCAGGGAAGTGTTGAATTAGGACTTTGATGCCAGGTGGTTGTATAAATGGATTTGTATTTCTCTAGTTTAAAAGGATGTGGTTTTTTTCAAGGTATCTTGAGCTGCTACTGGCCAGTTCAAAATGACACTGGAAAAAGTGCACTGTCAAAAGTACCCTTACTATTTCTGCCTTATGCCACAGAGAATCAAAAAGAAAAACAAGGGCATTACAAAAAGAATGTAATCAACATATACAATAAGTTATGTTCTCAGACATCTGCAGAAGCTCAAGATTTGAATGAAAGTTTAGCTCTGAGTCAGATCACACCTCCTAGCTCAGCACTGATGTGCAAGTTTGTGAACCGTTTTGAGAAGGGAGAAAAAACAGCAGTAGTCTAGACAAAAATCAGTTGCATAATCTAACAATACCTGCCTGGTTTTTCAGCCTCTCTCACAGGTTAGGGCCAAGTATCAGTGTGAGGAAAGTCAAGAGAGGTTCACACTCACTAGTAGGGAAATATGGCTAGGACATGCTGTGCCGTCAGATGTGTTGTGACTAGAATCTGATCCATCCACTAAAGTCTAGGAAGAGGGATAAGACCGTGCATAAGAAAACAAAAAAGTCACTTAACATCTGCATCTGGACCAGACTGGAGCAATTCTCCTAAGCAACAATCCAGAGCTCTCTCCCTCACTTGCCCTCTGCTTTCAGTCCAGACCAGAGTTAAAACTACTTTGTTAATGATTCTGCCTCTGGCATTTGCTTATCCCAGGACCCTGCTAGAATTGATCAGGGTTAGCTATTTAATAAAAGAAATTTGAAAGCAGATTTTTTTTTCCCTGCTCCTTGAATTGCTGGTGCCAGCTGAATATGTAGGATGGATCTGCCAAATCAGCTTGAGGGTCTTGCCACTCTCCAGTGGGACAAGACCTTTAGAGAAACTGAGCAAAAGGAAAGAGAACAAAGCCTGAATAAAATGTCCCAGTCTTGGGAAGAAAGATTCTCTACCAATAAAGTCATCGTGCATGTTTAAAGGGAGTGAGGAAGAAGGAAAATGAACACAAGATATGCAAAATCAGTAACGTTCAACCTGTCAGTGGATTGCAGAAGAGTTACTTACACCAGGTACACTTTGTTCATTGTACAAATTAAAAAAGGAAAAAAAATAGTACCCCTTTCCCCAACCACACGTAGAAAAGCACTTAAAAGTTCAAAGGTAAAGCTTGGCACATTCCAAATACGAAATGATTCACTTGACATGCAGCAAAATATACAAGAAGTGATTCTTTTTTTTCTTTTTTTTTTTTAAACAAACTTAATTCGATTCATTATCTTTGCTTGGCACAATTGCAATTCATTTTAAAAAAATATTTGAAAAATACTGAAACTGACCTGAATTCAAGTATAACGGTTTCTTCAACAGAAACATTATCAATGCAATAAAACATCACACGGAATATATTGAAGCGTAACGCCTTCTGGTTTTTTTTTTTTTGTTTCCCCCCACCCCCGCAATTTTTTTCTATACAGTTTTAATGCCAACACAACTTACAATTGTATTTTAAAATTAATATTATTGCATTGTTTTTGCATATCTTGTGGAACAGAAAATGCAAAGAGTTACTGATTCCCCTTTCAAAAGCAGAGACAGTGGTTTGTTTTTGCATTCAAATGGCCCCAGATACAGATCTCCTGCAGCTCAAACCAGGATGTGGAGAACTGCATGCACTTACACACGCACACTCACGCGCGCACGCACACTCGCTTGGTATTGCTCCCACACTCACAGATATACTTAGCACTAAAAAGAACCCAAATCAATCACTCAAATGTGCAAGACTATATCAAGTGCATTGCCTACTATCTTTAAATTATAAAACAACAACAAAAAAAGGAGGTTTCAATTACTAGCAAATAAAATTACAAATTCTTGGTGTACATAATGGTTGGTAAAACTTGTCTATCATTATACTTCTACCAAATTTCAATGGAGAAAAAACCCCAGTTTAAATAATACATGATCAAACCAATTTAACATTTGCAAAGGTGAAAATAAACCAAAACAAAAAGGTAGGTGATTACAAAACGTTGTAAACACTCCCTTCTCCCTCCAAAAAAAAAAAAAAAAAAAAAAAAAATTAGTCAAAATAAAAACTGCAACATGCTTTCAAGAAAATATCAAACTGCAAAACAAGGAGAGATCTCCGCCAGCCCAGCGCCACCTCAGAAGCGCGGGGCGGTTGGCTCAGCTCCACCGCGGAGCCGGCTCCCCGCTCTCCCGCTGGCTGGCGCGGCTGGCTGTCTGAGCTCCGATTGGCCGGCAGAAGACTGCCTAAGCTCGGATTGGCTGGCAAATGACTGCTCGAGCTCTGACTGGTTGGCAGGAGTGGCTGCCTGAGCTTGGATTGGTCGGCAGAGACCGCTGCCGGGCAGTCTGGGCAGGGTTGGGCAGCGCTGCCGGCTGCCCCTCGGGCGCCCGCGGCCTTCTTCTGCTTCCTCCTCCCCTTCGCGGTACGGGAATCCACAGCAGAAGAAGTCCTCCTCTCCTTCCGAATCAAAGGGCCTTGGCTTTATGGAGACGGTGAGGCTCATACAGAATATGTGCAAAATGATTTTTACAAGCAAAGTTGAAAGACACCCGTTTGGCGCAGGGTCCTTTTGGCTAGGGCCATCCACAGGAAGCTGAGGTTCCCCTTCACGCTTGGGAGGCGGTCGTCGTTCCTTGTGCAGGGACTGAAAAAAAAGAGGGAGCTGGCTCTCCTCCTCTTCCTCCTCCTCCTCCTCCTCACTCTTGCTTCATGGACACGTGCTGGGGTTATATCCGCTCCTGAAAAGCTTTCTTACACCACCCAACTCTGCGACTCGTCCCAACAGAAATGAATGAAGAACGCTGTTCCGGTTACTCCAGGTCACGAGAACAGTGAGGCACTTCTGAAACAAACCCATTAGGAACATTGAAACAAATAAAAAACCAGCATCGCTTCCAGCCCTGGCAACTACAGGCTGCTGATATAAATCCTGCTGTCCTTGAGCTCCTCCTGACTTTTTCTACAATCCGGGTTCTGCACCTCTTCCTCTTCCTCTCCTGCACTGTCCTGCCCTGGGTCCCTGCAGTTAACAAAAGGCAAGAGGTTGCCATTGGGGCTCTGCTTGCTGTTACCATTGAGAATGTTGTCTGCTGCATTTTCCATCTCTTCTATCGTCATGTCACAGGCATCTGCGAGCTCCTGGGTTGTGACCTCAATGAACTTTGGATCTTGAGCAAACTGCATCAGTCCTTCCGAAATCAAGACCTTCAAAAGCAGGTAGGGAACCAGAGACAAAGACATACGTTAGTACCCTGCATCATCAGCCCTGTCGCACCCCTAACGCAACGCTCATTACGGCTGTATTTTCCCTAGCGGTCCTTCTCCTCCCATTCACGCTGCTAATCCCTGCTTGGAGACGGGCTCGCCTACTCTTAGCATTGTGGGCAGCAATATATCTGTTGCCCTGCTCTTCCGAGGGCCGCATTTCTAGTTGGCCTTGCCACTACTCATGTCCTTCGCGACTCTGCAGTCTTACCGCTTCAACCAGGCTGCCAGCGCTGCCGTGAAACTGCCTGCTGCTCCCTCCGGTCTGGCTGGGGACGGTGAGGGAGACCGGTCTGGCTCTCCTCGGGCTGCTGCAGCCAGTGTTGTCAGGGTACCGAGAGCCGCAGTGTACTGACGGGAAGCTGCTGTTGAGCTTCTCACTGGACTCTGCCCCGTCGAGACGCAGAGTTGGGATGGTCTGTTGCGGCCAGCCACGGCTGCAGGGTGTAGCGGGGGGTGTAGCACACAGCCGAGAGAACATGGTGGGGGAATGGCTTCGCTGGAGTAGGGGACTCAGGCCGGCCACTGCTAACGCCTGTGGACAGAAGAGGAACAAGACGAGTGAGAGCTTGCTCTTAGCAGCAGGGCCGGAACAAGGAGTTTCTGGAGAAACCACCCGAGAAAGGCCCGGAGGTTCTCGAGGCTTATGAAGACAGCTGCCAGCTCCTGGAACAGTTTGGATGTTTCCTGCAAACTCATTTTGCAAGCTTTCCTTTAAATGGTGTATCCTGAGCTAGTGCCAAGCACCAGACTGCAAACTTGCATGACTGCAGTTCTTCAGCCTTGGAACCACTGCACTGACAGGAGAGATGCAGCCCCACTCCCCACAGCCTTGCCAGAAACACCACCACTTCTCCAGTGGGTGAGACAGCAATTCATTTTCCCACCACTGCTACCGCCCACACTGCTAGCATTTACTGCCAATTGCTGTGTTTTCTGTAAGTGTCTACTGTGGCACATGAACAGATACCAGATGTGAATTTTAGATGTGTCTGCAGTTAGCAATAACTATAAATCCACCGCTGGATTTTAAGGCATCTGCTGTTGGTGGGAGGATCAATATCTGATGATTATACTTCAAGCCATCCAGTCCTTCCTGTAATCATATACACAATCTCTGAGTCATCCAGCCTCCTTTTGTAACAAATTTCTCAAGAAGCCCCTTGTTGCACAGGGCCTTATTCATGGTGACTGCTGCCTTGTTCTGTAAACAATGCTGTCAGAGTCACAAACTCATCTCACAGAGCTCACTGCTGCCTAGTATGAGCAAAGAAATAAATGCATAGAAAATACAAAAGCATGTGGGTTATGTTGCAGAGAATCCTCTTGTTTGGGCTAGGGTTAGTCTCACCCAGCTTCACCTATCTGAAGGCTATATATTTAGTCTAAGCTAACTGTGTAGAGACACACCAGCAAGCCTCCTGCCTCTTTTCGATACCTTCCTGAAAATGCTATCTGGAGGGCGAGGCTTAGACAAGACTTATACTTGCCCTTTGGTGATGGTCTTTCTCTCTGTTGACCACAGTGGGACTGAACTGACCAGTTTAAACTAGAGAGCTAACTTTAAGATATCTAAAGTTAAGTGAAGCTCAGTCCATCTGCCACTGAAATCCCTGGGAACTGATAACCATGCTGGGCTAATGATTTCAGTGACAGATGAACAAAAGAATTAATTATTAGTCACCTACAAGGTTCAAGATATTTCAGTGACGAAGAAAGCCCTTAAAAATTCATCTGTATAAGTCATGCCCTGCAGGCTATGATGGCCTCAGCACATCCCTTAAACTGCCAGGACTTCAGGAGAGTCCTAGATCTGTCAGGCAGGACAACTGAACCATTTTTCAGCTTGTTGGCAGAAACATATACAAGGTGTTTTATCCAAAATATAAGGTTCTGAGGAAGTTGAAAGAAGCTCTTAAGGACTGCTTTGAGCTTCAGCCGCCTATATTTACATATCACGATGTATGAGTATTTTGTGAGAATAGCCCTTCAAGCATTCATGAGCAACCGAATCCAGTGCGCTTAGCAGAGGCAACCTTTCCACTTTATGTTCTTATTTTAAGCACTGTTGTAGCCTAACATTTTTGTAAATGTAAGAACGCTGCTGAGTGTTGTCAGCTGGAGGCCAGATGTCTGTGTCAGGGTAACCCTTCAGTCTGGCTGAGTGACACTGGGGTGAGCAGAACCCCATCCCTCTAGGTTTGGAGCCGCAAGGTGGGATGAGGAAGGGTGAAGTAGCTCCATCCTCTTTGTACAGGTTAGAGGGAGGTGATTCTGCCAGCCGGGTGGGCTGAGAGGGTTGGAGGCATATGTGCCCTCTGCCTGGTCTGCCGTGGGAGGGCAGGAAGTCTCCAGAGGGCTGCTGCTGCTGTGGGGAGTGTGGGAAGCTGTTTCCCACCCACTCCTCCCTGCCCCAACACATCTGCTGGTTGTCCCTGCCACAGCTGTAACTCTCTGCAGACCACTGCTTTCTGGAACTTGATCCTTAAAGGATAACTGGCTAGGAGTGGAGGCGAGAAAAGCCAGGGAGCCTCAAGTGTACTTCTCTCTCACTCCTCTGCTCTGAATTCTTACTCCTCCCAACCCTTCCGCGTGGAGTTTTCTGCCCCTGTGGCAGCCTAAGGAGCTGGGAAGGCCGTTCTGCCCTGCCCCGGGGGACTGCACAGAGCAGGATGCCCCACTTGCAAGGCTGGCACTACCATCTGCACCTGTTTCTTTTATGGTGACAAAAAGTGGCATCATCAAATTGAAAGACACAAATCTACTTTGGACTATGACAGCTGGCTAATCATCTAGGTATGTGCCTGAGCATACATTTGCTAGGCTGCTGAATGCAGTTACAAAGGGCTTAAGAAGCTGATTAATTACATGTAATCAGTTTATGTTTTAAAATGATTAATTACAGTTACTGGTTACCTTTAATTAATATGAAAGTAGACCCTGCACATTTTATTTGTGTGCATACTACCATCAAGCCAGTCTAATTGCACTGCAGCATGCAATTTGGGTAATTATTTTTATCTTTTAGCTAGTTTTTTTTATTTTACTTTTTCATGGACATCAGAAAATGATAACTCTGCAGACTCCAAAGGACATGTTCCCGTAGCATTCTTCTGGGAATGATAAAAATCCTCGAAGCAGGAATGAGTATGATGGCAAATACAATTCTAAAAATTGGACCTTTGATATGGGTGAGAAACTGTCCCAAATGGTTTTTAAAAAGTGTGTTGGGATACAATGTGGGAGCATTGCTGATGGTAGGGTCTCAGTTACATTGCTTGAGCCTTTGTGGTTATTAATGCTTACCTGATGATGTACCAGATGCAAAGGCAGAACTGTCTTCTGTGAGACATCTACGCCCTGGTTTTTCTGTCTTTTCAGACATTCTAAGTGAAAAGATGCTCTTCGACCTGAAAAGCAATCACACACAACTGTGTCCATCACTCATAATACACTAGAGGTAATCTGTTTTCAATTTCTTTTAGTGCAGTCCCAGTGGAGATACAGCAAAGACACCCACATTTTAGGCTCTGTCCACTTTCCCTCAACACCTTTTCCTTTCCAAAAAGCAATCGAGCATCATTGACCAACCAGCACTAGCTTCCAAGCAAGCTGCAAGATAAAACTCTGGATGATGATTTTTATTTTTCCTCTTTTAAAAAACTGTCCTAGTAGATACCATGCAGCTGATTTCCCTCCTAAGCAGTGGAAGTGTTCTCAGACCTCTCTGGTTCAGGTAAAGCCCTCAGTGGGACCGATGATGGCAGCTGAGGCTCTGCTGCTGTGCCTGGCTGTACACAATGTGCAGAAGGGGCCGTCAGGCTGCTCAGGTGACATCGGCCTCCTGCTTGCATGTGATCTGTGTCCCTTAGCTGCCAGACATACCACAGTTTATGAGGCTGTGTCTATAGCAAGGTCGAGTGGAAGTGAATTTATCAATAGTTGAATTCGCTGGTGAATGGGAGGCTGCTTATATAGACATGAAGCATTTCCAAAATTTGGAAAGAAGAGAAGAAAAAAAAGCACTTTTTTTTTTTTTCTTATATAAACATGGAACTTTAGGTGGAACTACTGAAACAGTCTCATTGTTTACTTGCTATAAAATTGAACTTTACTTCTGTAAATATGAGAAAGGTACTCCCTATGAAGGAATTTAAAAGTACAGTGAAGTATGTTTATGAACAAGTACACAGGCTCTACTTCTGAAGAACGGCAACTAAATCCAGTATTAAAGATAGAGCTGCATGGCACACTAAAATATTTTGTGGACTTCTTGATCCTGTTGACATTTTTCTAAAGAAGGAAAGAAAATAAGAATTCTGAAAATAGTAAGCATCTATAATATTGATTTGTTGAGAAAAGGCCCTCTCGGGGGTTGGAGGAAACATGTTATAACCCAGAGAATGAATGCTACAATGCAGATAAAAAGTATTTCCTCTTTCCAGAGAAAAAAAACCAGTAAAATGAGTATGACATCACTGTATGTAGCTAATGAAGCATTGTATCAAGGACTGACTGGAAATTTGGCCTTACAGATAGATATAGGAATTTTCATCGCCTAATATTTTAAGTTTTGAAATAAAGTAAATGCTTTTAAAATACTCAATTGTACAAGCATCCTGAAGGATTTGAGTGAAGACTCAGTAGCCTCACTTTAAACATTACACTACCTAGTCTGTCACTTTTATTTTGTAAGAATGTTTTTTATATACAGGATTCTTCTTAGTTTCTCCCCCAAATGTCCTTTTCCTCCACACCAATACTCAGGAAAAAGGCTGAAAAATATTCTACATAAAAGAGCTCATTTTCTTCCAGACTGTCACATTTGTCCTGATACTTCCATAAAATCTTATGATTTGTGGATTTCACCTGAGTGGAGTCTGCACGCTCAAGCACTTGAAAATCTCCAGGCACAATTAGAGCAGAAAGCAGATTTGTATTGTATTAACTTAATCTGAAATTCACTGTTTTCCTTGTAGCTGACAAGACACAACCTCTCCTTTTTCCCTGCTGAATACACACAGAACAGAACACCATATACTCAAGGCTAGCCCATTTGGTGACTCCGTGGTGATTGTTTGGAGAGTCTACAGTGCTCTAATGAACTCCCCTAATTCACAGGCTGGCTTAATCAAACAGATCACATGGACTATCCAAACAGCCACAGATTCATCTACTGACTGAGCATAAAGTCAGTAGAGTCATGTATGTGATCAGGATCGTATGCATGCCATGGGATTCCTGGTCTCATGGGCTAAATGCAGCCAACAGCAACACCCCTGCCCACACACGCTCGATTCTTCCAGCAAGACGTGAGAACTCAGTTGAGGCAGAGGAAAGCACAGCCTGCACGTCATGCTGGGAGGTTACCTAGCGCTGAGGAGCACAGAAACCCTTTCTTCGGAGAGTGCCGGGTGTCCTCTCCTTTGTTGTTTTCTGGTGGAGTAAGTTGTCTGTTTTCATCATCTTGGTATGCAAGCCTGGAAAGGAGAACAGAGAGATTCTAGAAAAGCAGCTGATATTGGACAGAATAACCCCTCTTCCAGCAGGGAAGCCAGGAAGTTCATGCTATCAAATGGATGCAATAGTGAGCTAGCTTTGAGCTATAACTGGTTCAGGAGCAGTAACAAGAGACCATGAGACAGAGAATGCTCTAAAGATGAGATCTGGCAACATTAGATGGTAGAAGTGAATGTGAGGGTAGGCCTTGCAGATCCAGATGTCTCATTCAGAGAAGAAAGAAAATCCTAGGTGAGAGATATCCTTTTCAATGTTAATTCTCAGGGCTGAACTGCCTTTTTTTTTTTTTTTTAAATTATTTTCTGATATTTGAGTTGTCTGGCTAACATCTTCTGGCCTTACCCCATAAATGGAGATTTTTGTAGAAAAACGTAACCTCTTCCCACCTCTGCCCCTTAATTAAAGAACCACCCAAACACCTTGACTAAAGCTGCAAAGCTCACATTTCAGTAGAGAGCAGACTTGGTTCACTACAGTACTCAATGTCTTCATTCAAATTTTCATCATAAGTCTCATCCTGAGACACTTCCTCTTGGCAAACAATTGCCAGCTGGCTGTCTCTGGAACCGGAGCTAATGAGCAAAAAAGACAAGTCAAGATATGGAGATGGTAGAGACAACCTGTTATAAAGACAAGAATGACAGGCTCCATCTGTCTCAGTTTATTATAATGTTGAAAAGCTATCATAGAAAAATCAATGACTGAACAGAGCTGAGTTCACAAATACAAAGCAACAACCTTTGTCTGTGTCCTCTTTCGGAGCAAGAGCTTCTTAAATCAATGCTGAACAATACCGTAAACATATTATTGTCATTTGTGACTACATATACTCTATAAATGTGCACATCACATTGACCACATTTCCAAAGATATATCTCACTGAAACTGAAGTAAAATCTGAGATGGGGTCTTGGAAATAACAGCTTTTTCCCTTGTTGCAAAAGCCTTGGTTACAAATTTCAGAGGAGCCTCCTAGACACTAACAATAAACCTCTCAGCTCTGTGGTGTATGGCCTTTGCCGCCCAAATCCCTTACTCTGCACCATCTTTCCCTTCTGCCTCCTGTTCACGCTCTTGTTCCTTGCTGTCTTTTCCATCTTTGGTCCCTTTTTTCTCATCACTAACTGCAGAGTGCTTCTACTGAATTCAGTAGGATTTGTTCAAACACTTAAGTGTGACAGCCCTTAATTCCCTGCTTGCCTCCTCTTTGTCCCTCTGTTTCATGTCTCGGCTTTCATTTCACTTCACTCTGAGTTTGTGTTTTCTGAGGAGTAAAATAAAATCTGAAGGTAGTGTGAATCTTTGAGATACTGACATGGAGGTATTGGAGCCAATGTCAGTCTGTTACTAGCATTCACAGAAGAGAGCAGCGTGGCAGGTTTTTTTTTCCATCTTTCAGGGACTGGATAGGAAACATTATTTTATCATTTGGTTTAAGCAAAAAACATTGGGAGAAATGTGCATATACATGATATAAAACTGCCTGTAAGACAGTGCTGGAGTGACCTTCTTCCTGAGATGGGAGGCAAGTAAAACTGCTAAGGTGCAGGGGGGAGAAAATCAGTACATGGCAGCTCCCCCTATTCAACAGTCTGCGTTTAGCCAAAACCATGCAGAATTTTTCTATGAACATGCCAGGGTGTACTTCACTGTGCTGTGATCAGAGAGTGCCTAGATGTGTGAGCCCAGCTAGAAACTCTATCCCCCCCCCAAATCTAGAAACCAGCTAGAAACAGTCCATACATCACTACCTGACTGTGGGCAGAAAAGCCCTGAGTCAGGAGAATTTTCTGGAGGTGTCATGGTGATCGTTACCTCTTTTTCAGCCCTACTAACACCAAAAAGAAGAGCTCATATTCAGCATTAATGGGAATTTGGACTTTCAATGGGATGAACAATGGGTCTTACACCCAGAGAGCATTAGAGCATGAGGGAGAACACGTACCGTCCCAGTGTTTCGTAGTAATGCGTCCTAATTCAAGGAAGGTGCCCAAGGAAGCAAGGAGAGAAAAGAACACCATGTTAGCAGTGTCACATCAGCACAAGTCAGCAAGGGGGAGGGCAGATGGTAACACATATTGTGCAACTTCAGTGGCCTCCCTCAGGAATGCACGAAATAGAAGAACCACTGGACTCTTTACTTGGGCAATTCTGCACCCACTGAATTTCTTCCATCTTATTGTCCTATTCTGTCCTTTGCTGGGGCAGCATTTCTCCACCTTTTCACATTAAGCACTCTCTGCACCAAAAAAAAAAATTTTCCTGCTCCTTCCTGCTGTTACTGAAAAGGTTAAAAAAAAAAAAAATCCCCCACTGATAAAAATGATACTCCTTTTGTAGTAGTCATCTGTGTGTAGACAGCCTGAAAGCTGCCCAGAGAAGGGGATTTTCTTTGCTTTGTACAGTATTGCATTTCTGAAAACCTTGCCGCCCTCCTCCCAGAATGCCTTTGGTGACCTCTGTAGGGATGTGACCCACTGAATGAAGCTCCCTATTGGGCGCTTAAGAGATGAATTGCAGTCTCTTTTAGTTACCAGTTGATGAAACACCTCCCTGAGGTGAAGGAGGGACAAATAAGGCTCCTTTTGGTTCTTACAAAGGTTTCTTCATGATAAAGCCCAGAGAAATCAAGTGTGTTGGTCAGCAAGAGTGCTGCTTCTTTGCAGGGGTCAACTGATGCATATCTGTTGCACCGTGGGCTTTGGCACAAGTGGAGAACCAGAAGGCTCGATCCAGGCTGCAGACTGGGCAATGTCTGGTGAGTGACTTCAGCTAGGCAGCAGTGCTCTGGTGTTTGCATGCGTGTTCCTCTACCTGGTCCCTTGACTCACACTCTGCTGTGAAGCTTACCTTTTGGAAGGTAGTTTCCAAGGAGCCTCCTGCACACGTATGGTGGGTGACAAGGGGGTCCCATGGCCTTCCACTGTGCTGACAGTGCTGGGGTAGCTGGGTGGGCTGGGGAAGCGGCACAGGGCAGTGTTGTTGGCATTGTTGATGTTGGCATTGGAGCCTGAAGATGAGTAGCTGCTGGGAGTGAAGGTGGAGTCCACCAGTTTCTCATGAGATGGAGACTCGGTATCTCCCTGGTTGTTGCCAGACTTATTGATGTGCAAAGGTCGCTGGGTGGTGAATGTCTGGGGGAACGCACTCCTGCCATCACTTTGGTAATAGCTGACATGGTTTCCGAACAAGCCTCCGGCTCTCTGTCAGAGAAACAGGAATGATTTTCCCTTTGTGAGTGAGAGGATGTGCAAGGGCCCTGATGTTTCCTGCTTAGCCTGTTGAGTTAAAAAAAAATGTGAGGACCAAAGCATGCATGATGGCACTGGTGCTCTCCCTTCCAGAGGATAGCACATGGACTTCTCTGTCAGAAAGACTAGGTACACACAGGCTGTGAAAGCTTTAGCTTTCTAAGGTATTTCAGAGGACTGGCCAGGTGCATAGGTGAGGCAAAGGTGTCTCTACACCTCCCACCAGTCTTGGAAGTGCAGGACTGGGTAGGGATGCAAGAAGCAGGTAACTGCTCTCTGGTTTTCACAGTGCAGTTGCAAAGCAATATTTAGACATGAGAGGGAATTTGAGAAGAGCACTAGAAACTATTAATCACCTGGAGGAACAAATGAAGACAGATTTAATGAGCCAGTTATGTACTGTTTAGATGATGAGTAATGAAAGGGACTGACAGCATCTTTCTGTAAGGAAAGGAGGAAAATGCCAAAGTAGAGGAAATATTACCAGCGGAGACAATTACAAGAAATAGGAATGAAATAAGAAAGAAAAGATTTAGGTAACTTGCTCAGAAAATCTCCTCCTTCCATAGGAGCTCTACTGGGTTCTGGTGTATTTTTTGGATGCTACTTGTGCCACTGAAAGGAGTGAACAAAACACTGAAGTGTGCCTGGCTGCTGCTCTGCAGACTGTAAGATGGCTGAACTGATCTGTTTTTCAGACTCTTTGGCCATTCTTGTTCTGATTTTATTAGGGTTTATGAGGGAAACTTCCATTGAGAAGAAAATGGGATAAAACCTGTGCAAAGATCTTAGGACCTGGCACCCCTGAGTCCACCACTCTGTTTTCTAGTAGGGTCTAGAAAACAAGAAAGAGCGCCCAGCTGAAATACATGAAAGCACAGAAAAGAGAATGTAACACTCTTTGAGCTCAGCTACTGGTCTAGCCTCAGCTTGCAAACTTGTTCAGCACCTACCCGGAAGATATCATCTTCAGAGGCAGCAGAAACAGCTTCTTTCATGGCCTTATCTAGCTCTTCTTCAGCTGTCAGGTCTCCAGAAATTGCTCGTCGGATCTCTGGCCCAATGTCGTGAAGTGTGCGCAGACCAGCCTGCAAAACAGCAAACTATAGAGCTTCATATCTCCGAGTGGGTATATGAGAAATAAAAGCAGTGCTATTTCTTCCTGAGCACTGTGAAGCCCTTTTACTTAATATAGCATCCCAGCTTCTAGAAAAACACCACCACATTCTGTTCTTTCATCTCCAGCTTAGAGAAGGAGAAACTCTTAGCAATCCGACCCAGGAATGTTTGTTGCTAGTCCCCTGGCTTCATCACAACAGGACACAGACATAAATGCACAGGCTTGACTAAGCAAGTCTGCATGCTTTAAACTTTGCGTTCTCAGATCCACAACCAGAAGCCCTAGAGCACCCACAGTTCCAACTGAACCATGTACTTTGTGCCTCTGAAAATCTCGTATTTTTAATCAGTAGCTTAAATATGGATTTAATAGCTAAACTTCTGGCATCTGGACCTGGACAGTCCTCAAACCCCTCACTGACTGGAATTCATTCCAGGGAGTCCATCCAGGGAGGTAAGCTGTGGGTATGCTGAGACCTCAGTCTGTATCTGTGCCTGTGCCACAGCACTTTTTAGCTTGCTGGAACGCCAGAGTCACCCTTCTTCCTTACTGTACCCTTGAGGGACATAAATGGTGCTGCTTGTACAGTGAATGGGGCTTTCTCATTCTTTCACACAGCCTGGTAGTCCACCCAGTGAACGTGTAGCACAGTGGTGAACAGATCCCAGTCTTAGAGCCTGATGCCCCATCTGTTGGATAATCTTGGCATCCAGGTGTGCTTTTTGTTTTTTAACTGATTTTGCCTCCTGGCAACATGGTCTCCCTGACCCTGTTATACTGACTCCCCTCAGAAAGGGTAGAATGAATGTGGTAATAAGCAAATGTCTGCTGGACACTTCATACCACTTCTCTAAAAGGAACCCAAATTTCAAATATTACCAGCAGATTGATAAACTGTGGATATACCTCACTTGTGCCTTCCACTTCCAGAGCTAAGGGATGTGGCCCATGGTACATACATGTTTATCCAAAAGGATTGATGTGGTAATTCAAGGGGTCTACAAGCTCCTTTCCAGTGGGGATAGCCCATTGCAGCCCCCAGAATGGTTGAGAGAGAAATGGGGTCAAATGCCTCTACTGTACCACCCCTGTCCGTCCTGTGCCCGCTTGTCACCTGCAAGGAGAGCGCGTTGCGCTGGGAGGGCTTGCCCACCAGTCCCTGTTCTTTACGCTTCTTGAACTTCCGGAAATACTCCTGAATCAGGAAAGTGGCATAGAACTTCCCAACGGTCACCTCATCATCTGCAGAAGGGTATTAAAAAAAAATAATTAAATAAGCAACTGATTTTAAACAGTGTATTTGCTAACGCGAGCCCTCAGAAACACTAGGCACTGCAGTACATCTCTGCCTCTTATGGCATCAGGATGCAGGGCTGAAGGAAGGGGATTGCTCCACAGCCAGAGCTTGCTGTAGGTAGTCAGGAGGAGAGGTGCACGTGGCATTTGGATAGGCTGGCTCTGCTGGCAGAGAACCCCTATAGCTATGCGCCTCTGGATGTACATTGTTTATGGTGAAGCGCCTCTAAGCTTTGCAGTCTCTGATACTGGTTTACCACTGTCATGGTTTAACCTCAGCCAGCAGCTAAGCACCACGCAGCCACTCACTCACTCCTTCCCACTTAGTGGGATGGGGGAGAGAATTGAAAAAAAGTAAAACTCATGGGTTGAGATAAAGACAGTTTAATAGGACAGAAAGGAAAAAAATAATAATGATTATGATGATAATAATAATAAAATTACAATAACAATAATCAAATAATTGGAATATACAAAACAAGTCATGCACAATGCAATTGCTCACCACTCACTGACCAACGCCCAGTTAGTTCCTGAGCAGCAATCTGCCTCCTCAGGCCAACTCCCCCCAGTTTATATACGAGGCCTGATGTCACATGGTGTGGAATATCCCTTTGGCCAGTTAGGGTCAGCTGCCCTGGCCGTGTCCCCTCCCAACTTCTCGTGCCCCTCCAACCTTCTTGCTGGCTGGGCATGAGAAGCTCAAAAATCCTTGACTTAGTCTAAACACTACTTAACAACTGAAAACATCAGTGTGTTATCAACATTCTTCTCATACTGAACCCAAAACCTAGCACTGTACCAGCTACTAGGAAGAAAATTAACTCTATCCCAGCTGAAACCAGGACAACCACAGAGAATCTTGCTATAGCAGCAGCCTCCCAGTCTGGGTCAATGCACACTACCCTGTCCTGTGATAGCCTGGGGTAATACATACTCAGAGTCTGGATTAACAAACAGCATCTGACTGACCATCCATTCCAGACCTGATCTGGCCTTTCTCTGCGTTGAAATTGTCTGTGCCTAGCATGGGTGTGAGCAAACCAAAATGATCACCTCTCCCCAGAAACACAGTTATTGCCGTATTGTCATTCAATACAAACTGTCAGTCAGCTGAAATGTGCACAAAGTGTTTATCCAGATAACTCTCCTCCCTTCTCCAAACCCACAGGAAATTTTATAAGACATGGATCACTGACTTCAGAGCAGGCTAGGCAAGGTTCAGGATCTGGCTGCGACTGTTAACTAAGTGCCAAGTGCTGTTTTGTGCTATAGCCCCTGGAGCCACCTGGAAGGTCAGTGAAGGCCACACTGGATGCCCATGTACCTGGGGTCCCAAGAAGCCTAGCTGTCCTGGTTTCAGCTGGGATAGAGTTAATTTCTTCTTAGCAGCTGGTAGAGTGTGTTTTGGATTTAGTGTGAGAATAATGTTGATAACACACTGATGTTCTAGTTGTTGCTAAGTAGCGCTTATCCTAAGCTAAGGATTTTTCAGTTTCCCATGCTCAGCCAGCGAGCAGGTGTACAAGAAGTTGGGAGGGGACACAGCCAGGACAGCTGACCCGAACTAGCCAAAGCGATATTCCATACCATAGAATGGCATGCTCAGTAAACTGGGAGGAGTTGGCTGGGAGGAGCAGATCGCTGCTCAGGCATCAGTCAGTGGATTGTGAGCAATTGCATTGTGCATCACTTGTTTTTTCTTGGGTGTTATTTTTAAATTTGGGGTTTATTTATTTATTTATTATTTTATTATATTCCTTTTCATTACAATTATTATTATTATAATAATTATATTTTTATTATTATTGTTAGTATTAAATTTTATTTTACTTTATTTATTAAATCATTCTTATCTCAACCCACGAGTTTTACTTTCTTTCCGATTCTCCTTCCCATCCCACTTGGGGTGGGGAGTGAGCAAGCGGCTGCGTGGTGTCTAGTTGCTGGCTGGGCTTAAACCACAACACTAGCAAAGGAGCTGCCCAGAAGCCTGGTAATTACAGCCTACCAGCGGCACTGCATAGCAACCCACAGCAATCTGTTACGCCAGTTCAGACTGGCTGAGGAATGTCCCCAGGTACATGAGTCATTGACATGTATCATAGCAGAAAGCAGTTACGCAAGTAAAAAAAGAGTTATATGCCATAGTAAAGGTAGTTTTGCTAAATAGGAAGGGGTTATGAGATGGGGCTGGGTCCTTAAGTTGAGGGTAAGGCCGCATGCCTTATACAGTCAGATAAAGTCCACATCATCCTCCCTGGTGCTACTTAGCTTTGCCTGCCTCTTTTGCCCCCAGCAGGCACCCGGTAAAGTCCAGGGGAGCAAATGCCTATGATCAAACTGGGGCAAGATCTAGGAATAAATGTTTCTAACTCCTATTTATGCGCCTTTTCTTCCTTCCCTGATTTCTCAGCAGTAAGAACATGATATTCACATTAGTACAGGCAGAAAGAGATCTCAGCCTGATGAAATACAGGTAACAGCTTGTAGAAGAAAGCTTGTCCCCCATATTCCACCTGATGATCATGAGGTGCAGTAGGACATGTCAGGTGGGGAAAAAGAGAGATTCGGGGGCTGGGACAAGATCCTGCACTCACCACCTGCGGGGGGCACCACCTGGTCCAGCAGCTTCATACTGGTGCGCTTCCAGATTTTCTTAATTATTGCTCTCAGCTCTTCGTTGGCTTGCTCCAGGTTACCTGCAGGGTGAAAATCATCAGAGACAGGAATTAAGCAGACCCTGCAGAGGAGCAATTTCTTGTCTGGCACGGCAGTCTTAGGAGGAAAATATCAGAGCTTTTCAGTAGTGGAAAGTTTTGGATAAAGAGATGCTCAGACTATTGCTAAAGCCTCCTCACAGCAAGAGGTCTTCTTCCTAAATATGCATAGTCATCTCAGGGTAGGAAGCTGACTGTGTTACTGACTGATAGTCTGCAACAGCCAGAAACAACAGAACCATGGTGCTACTTCATCCCCAAAAGCAACAATCTCATCTAACACTTCAAATTTTAATTGAGATCCAGTGAAAGTTGAATATGATGAGAATAGAGGTCAGTTAATGGGAAACTACAGCTTGGGAACACCAATAATTGGCGGTAAAGATGCATCTAGAAATCTGAAGACCTGAGCCTTCTTGGAGCACATCTCCAGAATTACCTGTTGCAGTCCCTGCCTCCCAGCAGATACCAAGTTCTTCACATGGTGCCAAGAGTCTGCCTTGGAGAGCCTGCACAGTGCTCTGACAAGGCACTACAGGCACGTGCAAGGCTTTTGCTATTCAACTTGGAGGACTGTCCCAGGATATTGGTGTCTGTTCTCTGAAGAACAGCATAGGCTATAACAAGCCTTTTATGTAACTGTCTGAATTTAGACTTTACATGTTCCTCCAAGGGGCTCTGAGCTAAATGAGACATTAATCAAGCCACACTACCCCTTTGAGAGCAAGTGAAGCAGATTCAGTTTATATCCTTTCTTTCTAGATACCCATTTCCTCCCAAACGACTCACCTTCAATTTTATTTCTTGATTTATGTACATTCAAATTCCTTATAATTGAAGCTCTCTTCTCTCTCTAGGGGTACAAACCCACTACCTTGTCCTCCTAAAGGTGCTGTTCCTGCAGCTTTTCTTATTGCTCCCCAGCGTTAAGGCTCCTCAGTGTGCTGCACAGCTCTCTTAATAGGATGCAGTGAAGGCAGGGACACTAAGTAACTTGCTGAGGATGAAACAGGTGGACAGCATCACAGGCAGAAATCTGACTCAGGAGGGTTAATTCCAAAGTCCTGCCCTAACCACTTACAATTAACCACTAAAGCAAGAAAGCAAGCAGTTTGAAGCTTTAGGTGGTTTCCCAGGAGTTCACTGGTAATGACTCTGAGAGCTGGAGGCTAAGATGGACAAGAAAATTGAGTCTTTTTTGGGTCTCTGTTTCATAAGACACAAGATGTCCTGCAGGGGTTGCGGTTGGCTTTTTCCTCAGGAGACCCTCTTTGGCTACAGTCAAACTCAGTTTAGCACAACATTCAAGGCCATAATATAATTTTTTTTCATTTTACCACTTTTTTTGGCTCAGCTGTCAGTATAATCCTGGCACAGTAAGCTAGGGTTCTGCTGGTCTCTGCTTTCCCATGTCTGAAGTATACTGCAGCCACTCCTGAGGCAGAGGTGTTTAGCTATGAATTGGCAGACCCTACATGCTCTTTTAGAGCATCTCATTAATACATGAAGCCAGGTTTTGACTCAGGACCAATATCTTTCATTACAGCAGGTGACAGAGGGCAAGAAAGGGGACAAGCTGAGCCCAAAATCTTGTCTGCTTTCCCCAACTATACCTGCTGGTCTGTGTAAAGCTATTATCAGTCCCTTTGCTTCTCATCTGTCTTTAGGCCTACAACACCACTGTCATGACAACGTGATGTTAACTCATGCTAATGGAAGCACAGGAGGAGTTTTAGTGAGGTGAGACCCTCGAGTCCAAGCTCTTTTGCCTCCCTTGGATTGGAAGATCAGTGGCAACAGCAGTCAAAACACGGCCCAGCTCTGCAGCCAGTTTGCACAAGGGGAGGCTTCTTTGCACTTCTTCCTTCCCCTGATTGCTGTTTGAGCAGACATTGATCTAAAACTTTAACTTTGAGACCATTGTAGAGAACATGATCAATAATCTGAGATGATACCATGGGAAGCACTAGCTTTCTAGGTAACTGGAAACACTGTTCTCTCCCTAGAAAATATTATGCTTCAAAACATCTTTACATTGCTTTTTGTACCATGTGCCTCATATGAGTAACTGGAATCATCTTACACAAGATGTCCTTATTGTTGTATTCCAGCTCTGCACACTTTGGTGTGAACACCACTCAGCTACCTTTGCATCCTTGCAGTCAGCAAGCTTCTTACCTTCTGTCTTGATCCTCAGTGCTGTTCTGACCAATGCAAAGAGAGTGGCATTGAACATGACAGTCCCATCGCTGTTCAGTGGCATATTCATGGAGACAAGGCGCTGTGGAGTAAGGAGAAGAAAGAGAACAATTGTACTGCCAACACATGGTCTGAAGCATGCTCTTCCTTACACCCTCATGATGCCTTCCACACCTGCCACCGCTCTTACATGAGCATCCACGGCCTGTGGATTTAGTTACACAATTATTTATCCAACTATTCCCCCCCTCCCTTTTAAAACAAGGCTGTGTCTGCCCTGCAGTGATTCTGTAAAGCCATGTAGGACAGAGAGCGAGTGCTGAGTGCTGTTGCAGCTGCAGGGTGAACTTCGGTGAGAGCTTTCAGGGGTTGATTTTGTTCGAGCTCTGTCTTCTGCCACTTTCATGCAACAGGCCTGGTTCAGCACCAAATTGGAGGAAAGGGTGTCAGCCCCCACCACTACCACCACAACCATATACTGGGGGGCTCGGACCAGATCGAGACAGCAAACAATTTCTAGACTGCAGGCTGAAAGGGATCGACAGTCATATACTTCTGTGTACAGGCCCCAGGCTTTGTATTTTGCTCCGAGACTGATATAAAAACCAGCTACCAGTGTCACATACAAACTCTGGGATTTGCGAAGAGACGAACAAAGAACTTCAAGTGAAGGAAGCATAAAGGTTATAAAAATGTCATTATTCACTAGAGAGAGTCCTTTTTCATAGACGGAATCTCACAACCCACGAAACGAATGAGACGCTTTCACAGAAAATCTGTCCTTGCCCTTCCTGTCTTTTAATACCACGCTCACCTCGCTGTTTAATACCTGCCAGTCATTCAAGCAAGAATGAGATCACGCCAGGTTTTTGGCGCACAGCTTGGTCCAAAGAAAATCTCAGAGGTGTTTTCGCTCGCCCTGTTATTTCTGTCTGGCCTTGTCTGTCTTGCGACGCGTGCTCAGCCCCGCAAACATAGGGGTGGGTGTCCGATGCCGCGCTCGGCATGTGGGAGCTGCGGTCAGCACGGACGCTCTCTCCCAGCTACCAAGCGGGCTGGTGGGGCGCGGACGCCTCTGAGCAGCGGACGCCCCACCTGCGGGTGACCCCCCAGCCTTCGGCTCGGCGGCTGCCGCCCCGCGGAGCCGGGGAGCGGCGCAGGGTAGCCGGGGGCCCGCTTCAGACCCGTGCCCCGCTTCAAACCCGTGCCGTTGCCGGCCCTGCGGCGGGGCTGGCTAGGAAGTGCCACCGCGGGCTATTTAGCGGCCATGACCGCTGGCCTTGCCCGAGCCGCAGCGCGCCTTACTTTGCAAGCCACCCGGTGAGGGCAGAGCTTCCCGAAGCCGAGGGGGGGCTGAATCCGCCGGAGCAGTGTCACCACGTCCAAGTGTTTGATCCGTCCCCTGAAGAAGACAGCACAGTGAGGGTCGCATCCTTACCGCGGGGCGACCTGCTGATCTGCCCGCAGGGTGCGGGTATCACCGAGAAGTATCACCGAGACCTTCCCGGCCCCACACTGCCACTCCCTGTAGCCCAGGCATAAGCTGTTATTTCAAGCCTCCTGCGTTCGGTGCGTTCCCCAGAATTTGCCCAGCGCTCATATAACTCCTGCTAGTACAGAAAACCCAGTTGTCAGTCATACACGAGTCAATACTTGCAAGAATTGACTTCAGTGTTTTGAATGCTGCCGTTTCTTAGTGCATGGATGAACAATTTGGGGTTCCCCCACCCCCAACCTGCTCAAAATCTACATCTGCTTATGTACTTGTTGGTCTTGGGGCTATAGCAGGCACAGAGGTGCAAAGGGGTCTCTTTTTTTCCTGGTGCTATACCTCCCATATAAATAGCCCCAAGCCACTGTCTTTTGATACTTGTTTATGCTTTGGGCCATCACTGGAGCCAGTGCAAAACAGTGCTGAACTCCCTTCACAGCAGCAGTTGGGTTTAAGTTCTGTAAATGGCATCTCAAAAGAAGAATTCTCTTATGGAGGGAGGAGAGCTACCAGAGCCCAAGGTGGGGCTTCAAGCATGGGACATGGATGGGGAAGAGGAAAAAAAGAGCTTCCCATTTATAGGTGGGAAGGAACAGGATGTCATCTGGATGGAGCAGCTGTCTATAACATTGCTTCAGCCACTGCAGTCTTGCCTTCAACAAGCACAAATAGCAGCACCTATTTTCTTAACGATGTATTTATCAGAATTCTGTGCTTATCCCCTATCCATATTAAAAGTTTCTCTGGGAAGTCACCATGGATGGGAAGAAGTGTTTCAATTTATGTATCACTCTGATAATGTAACACGGCCTTACATATCGAGAAGCTGAGACCAAATTAATCTTGACACTATGTCTCCTAAAGAGATCTGCTTTTAGTTTACACCAAGATCTCTTTCCGCAGTTTTTGCATTATGAAGGGGGGCTTTGCAATTACAATTGTCAACTGTACTGTAATGCCACAGGGATCTAAATGCACTTTAAGCCTAAGCATGTGTCAAACAGCATATAATACTGAATGTCAGTTAAGCCCTTGTGTGAGTTGTTCTTGTGTAACTTTAAATCCCTGCAAGTCTCCTGATGTGAATAACCCTGCAGACAATGTAACGCAGCTATGTGAAGGTACAGGTTGTGATGGGCCTATATGACATATGACAAAACGGAGATTTGAGCACAGCAGCTCTACTGTGAGTAGAAAGTCAAATAGGAGTCACAGCTCAATATCCCAAACACATGCAGCAATAAACCAACGCTCTAACCTCCTTTGCTCAATCTCCTGCTGCGCCTCCCTAAACAGTCTATATCTCCCTCCCGACTGAAAGTGAAGCAATGTTCTGCCAGGTAACAGTGCAGCCTAAATGCTGAGATTTTTTTGTGTAGCCTTGTACTGCTGGCTTACGGATTTACCAGCAATACCTCGTGGAGGTGTCTATTTTAGGATTTCTGCAGAACAAAAAGTGTTCCTGCAGGAGGAACATGGCACTTACTGCACTGGGTCTAGAGAACAGAAAATAACGGGCCTGTTCTCCCAAGGAGCTCTGATATCTAGGCTGGGTTACTTACTTGGCTTCAGGGTCATACTCTGCCCAGATCCTTTTAAACTCATCCAGGTGGTGTGGTCCTAAAATGGACCAGTCCCGTGTCAGGTAATCAAAGTTATCCATTATAACAGCTACAAAAAGATTGATGATCTGCAAACAAGGACAGAGATGACTTGATGGGTGAGGCAGGTAACAGTAGGTTTTACCGGGTTCTCCATTTAAGGTCTGGATTTGGACTCGTAAAACTAGGAAGCCATTAATGGTGGGTTCTCTGTTCCCCCATTGCCAGCCCCCCAGTTTAAATGGGAAGATCCCAGAGGCGAGATATTCTCAGCTGGTCACGTTTTTCTCTTCCTTACTAAATCTATGAGGCCCAAGAGTGCTGAATGCTTAGACATGCTGTGGTGGCTTTTTATTTGCCTGGCAGAATGGGGTAGTGGTGGGAGAACCTGGGATTTATCCTCTATAGGCAGTGGGGCTGAGATAAAAGTCCTTTCTTCTGGCCCAAGACCAAAACTTTTAAAATGTTGCTGCTGTTCACTGGGAGAGTTTTGCGCACTGATGCCAGCTGCAGAGCATGTGCTGTTTCTCTGAGCAATGCCGCATTGCCAACATGGAGCAGATGCAAGTGGGATATGTGTATTCTCACAGTCATTGCTGCTGGCAGGGGAGGAAAAAACCTGCTCAGCAGCCAGAAGGAAGGTAGGAGGGAAGGTGGGAAGTGTGGCTGAGGCGTTGCTAGCCTCAGCACAGCCCACAACACGCTAAATTGGTTTTCTCATTGGGGGGGAGAAAAAGCGCTCCTTTGCTGTGCACAAAGGATTGGGACTGGAAGCAGAGCATTCCCCGGAGCTGGAGGGAGGCAGGAATGGCAGCGACCAAGGAGGCGTTGTCACTGGTGCTGCTGGGAAAGACCCTGTGGCGAGATTTCCCTTCTTTGAAATCATTCTTCTGCTGTGCAGTGCTGATGTCTGGGGGGGCAGGGGCTCAGTCTGACAGAGGGCAGGTTTCAGTTGCTGGGCCGGACTCACCAGGAAGGCACAGAGCATGTAGAAGCTGATGAAATAGAAGACGGCAAAGCTGCTACCACAGGAGTGATCGGCTTCGGTGGAGTTGGCTGGCTCGGACTCTGGGTCGCACTTCTTGTCTGGGAGACACGCCAGCATGATTTCCTGCCAGGCCTCACCGGTGGCACACCTGGGCATGGCAAAGGAAGACAGCAGTGACCTTCGATGTGAGAGGGACTGGCACGTTAGCAACCTGTTCCTGCTCCTGTGAACATTAATGGGAATTTTGCCACTGAGATCCATTAAGAGCAAGTTAGGCTGAAGGCCGGGCTTTGACGCACACTGGCACACCCTGCTCCTCTTTTTGGCTTTGTTGCCATCATCAGCGTGTTGTTCCTGACTGGCTTTGGCTGGTCTGGGTACAAGGCTGTCATGCTGCAAGCAGTCAGAGTCATCGAGACGTGTGTGACATGGCTACGGGCTGCATGAAAAAACTCCTTGAAAATGAGTGTTGAATTCGTGCCAACTCCCCACCCCTTCAGCATCCCGCCCTGGCCCCGGCACATCTGGCCACATCTGGAGCAGGATGATGTGCCAAGCTGAGCTGGGCATGGCCATGCCAAAGCATGAGTGGGAGTTCACGTCCCTTTCCCTGCTAAAATAAGCTGGAAGTCTTACTGGCTAGATTTGAACGAAAGGAGGAGTTTGCGATGCATATGAACATTTGAGAGCACTGAAAACTGGCTACCTTCCTTCTGAGTAGGAGGACTTGCCTCCCTCCCTAGCACTGAGTGTTGGCCAGTGTCAGCTGGCAGGGTACAAGGCTTAACGGACTGGTCGTTTCATCTGACATAACTCCTAGGCTCCCCCACTAAGGGACAACATGTTTCTACTCACCTCATGAGCATGACACAGTAGAAGGAGATAAGCTGTGCCCAAGAGCAGAGGAATCGTGCTCCCAGACTGACACAACCCAGAGCTGTCAGACACCCACCTGAAAAGCAGCAGCACTGCCTGGGGGAAGGTCTGGAAGTTGTTGTTGCGGTTGATTTCTGTGGTATCGTTCAGCGCAATTTTACCAAACACCTGGCAGAAAGCAGAGGTCTTTTCAGGTTAGCCCTACAAAATCCCCAAACCTCGTTACCTGTAGCTCTTGCCCTCACCCTGACTCTGATATTTAATAGAATCTGCTCATCTCTTAAAAAATAATTTCCACAGGTCTTTCATATTTGCCATTGCTTCCCTTGCTTGTGCTTTATCACCAGAAAAGCAGTCATTTTGTAACAAGAGGCATCTTTTGTTAAAACAAGACATCTTTCCTTATTTCACACTCTGTGAATACATGATATGGGGCCTTAATTTAATGGGCCCTCATATGGGGAGGGGGTCCAGCTGAAAGAAATCAATAACACAGAAGAAAAGGCTCCTTCCTTCATTGCTTATCTGTCTTCACCAGGAGGAAATGATAGCAAAGGACCAGCAGCTGCAAAGCCTTGAGCTTCCAACTCTGCAGGGTGCCCTGGATCTTCCCAAAACAATGTAAAGTACGTTGCCTTGGATCTGGAGATTGTCCAAATGCCTGCCCTTCTAGTAGCCATGCTTGTCACCAGCAGGTGTTTCAGCCTCCCCTCCCTCCCCCCCCGAGAATGCAGCAGTGTGAAGATGATGACTAGATTTGCCCAGACAAGGATGGCTTACAGCTTCCTCCCATGCCCAACCAACTGTTGCTGCACCAACTACTTCATCCAGCCGCAGCACAAAGCCTGCAGCCATCAGCAAACCTTCTTAGGGGCCTGCCCTCAGATGTGAAGACCCCAGTGCAGGAGAGTTTCAGGTTTCTTTGAAAAAGCAGCTTATATAGCTTTGGTATTTTGGGGCACCGGGACTGAGAGCTTAACAAACCTCGCCTGGCAGAAAGGTCTCTGCACAGCATAGTCAGTCAGGACTATTTATTCCCCATCGATAGCAACATGACAGAGATCTCAAGGACCGAGAGCTGTAATCTCGTAGCCAAAACGAGCAGGAGGAACAGAGCAGCTCTGAGAGGACATAGAGCTTCTTTTCAAGCAAATGTCACTGAAAATTAACACCCCAAGAGAAACAATGAGATGGAGAGAAGTGCAGGGACAATGGCGGGGAGGCCATGCCAGACAGGAGGGAGGGTCCGTACATGGCAGGATTTCTGCAGGGGTTCCTCATGGATGTGTGGGCCTTCCTCGGCCCCGACCGCCCCATGCCGTGGGTAGCAGTGACAGCCCCAGCTGCACTGAGGAGGAGCAGGAGGACAGTTTAAATGCTCAGAGGCAGTTTGAGCCGAGGCAGCCCATATTTTTCATTTCAGGCAAGCGTAGGCAAGGGAACTTCCCATGCTGGAAGTCTGATTTTCCTTTTGACCCTGCGGCTTCCCTCACACAGCACTGGCGGCAGCTGCTACGGGTGCTTTGCCTTAGGCACCTACGAGGAGCTATGGGCAGAGGTTCCTCTCTCATGGCCTCTCCAGTCTGTGCCTCCTGGGCCATGAGCTGAGTGGCTTCATCCAGGAGCATCAATTTGGATTTTTCCATTTGAGCACATTATGTAGTGAGGCTTGAATGTTGTTACGTTCCAAGTCAGGGCAGTAGCTGAGATAAAGTGGTAGGTCTCCTTTATGTGGGAAATTCTTGTATTTTCATCAGATCTGGTACATGTAGTCTTTCAAGGTGGCTGCTTAATGAAGCAAGGAAGGCTTTTCCTTCCTACGTGTCCCTATGTGTGAAGGAACTCTATGTGTCAGCAGGTTCAAGAGAGCAGCACACAACATTTCTGAGAAGCCATTTGGACAAAAAGTAATAACAGGTCTGTGGGCTCTAAGCAAAGAGGGAAGATAAGAAAAGTTGGTTTTCTCATTGGAAGACAGGAGGGCAGAAAGCGATCTACTAATCTAGATCAATGTGAAAGACAGATGTATGATCTTCAGGCTGCTGAGATGATTTAAACAGAGGCTTGAATGTAAGCCAAGGCTTAAACAGCCAAGTTAGAACTAGGTGACAAAAAAGGGAGTAGAATTACAAAATAAAATATCTAGCCCTGGCAGTGCCCCGATCATTGTAGACCCCCACCTGCGTGGGTGGTTGGAAGCCATTTTTAATGCTTTGTGTAGCTACATAACACTTGTGTAATACTCTCAGGTGATTTTCTGTATAGCACAGGTAATCCTGTATGATCTTGGCCATTTGAGCTAGTTAGGTATTAAAGGCAAAACTGTCAAGTTTACAGTACGAGCCTAGTAGACTAAACGACAGCTGTAATTACCGGGGGCAATTGAGATAACCTGTGATAATTCAAGAAAAGATTAGTTTTATTTTTCAGACTGGAGCAGGGTAGATGGAGTCTGTGAAAAGATGTGATTATAATAACAGGAAACAAATTAAAACAAGGTCACAGAGGTCAGATGAATTTTGTTACAAATTCTGTCGGCATTGTGAAACCAAGAAGCCTATCATGTTTGAAGATCCCTTGAAGCAATTATGCCATGCCTTTCTATACTTTGGTTTCTGGTCGCAGATGGCTGACTTGTCTGAGATCTTTGATTAACACCGAAGTGGAAAGTGAAGCTTAGTTTGAAAAGCAGCATGGCAAATGAGGCTGGGAGTGTCACAGGCTGTGCCTGTATCACATGCTTTCTTCAATGGTCTGCATGCAGCATCAGTTCCTTGCACAGTTGAATGCTCAGGCCGGTTCCAAGTTCATTTTGCAAACTGAATAGGATATTGTATTGATGCAGCTTCCTGAAGAATTGGCACAAGCACAGAGCGTCAGTACATTGGGTCTGATCCCAAATTTACCTTCATGAGTGTAAATCAAAAGCTGTTCTTTACAACTCAGTGGAAGTTATGCCAGTGGGAAAGTGATGCGAGAGAAAAATTGGGTTTGTTCAGTGCAGTGTGGCCATAAGCCCACTGAAACAACTAATTTGAACCAACAAGCGAGGCAGTAAATCTTTGCCACTGCTGCTGGGTATTCCTTTGAGAGTGAGGAGGTCCTTTTATGGTTTGTATATTGCATTCTGCCATTAAATGGGTCGGTTTTTGTTCTTGTTCTGGAGTGTGTTGTGCTCCCATTGGAAGTGCATAGGCAGACAATGTTTTCCAACCAAGGTTAGCTGCTGTCTTACCTTACTGGGCGAAAACATTCTTGTAAGCCTGGACAACCACACATTGATCTAGTTACTTTATAAGTCAGTTCCCAAAACTCTAACAGAAGAAGATAGACACAGTTGAGCTCTTTAGCATCACTTACCTGCATCCCGATCACGGCGTAGATGAAGAACAACATCACTATTAAAAGAGCCACATAGGGGAGAGCCTAGAAATGAAAAAAAAAAAAAAAAAAGAAAAAAACAACAAAAAAGAGAGCACTGTGTCTCCACCGAGGCCGGCACACTGGAGCCTGCTTCACGCTCGTGGCTTTGGGAAACTGGGCAGAGGCTGGCCTCAAACGTGGAGTCTGTAATTTGGCCAGGTGGCCACTAGATGCCTCTACAGGCCCACATTTGCTTGCCCTCCCCGTCACCACGCTGCTGCCACCCAGCTCAGGCAGGCTCTGACTCTGCTCCCACTCGTGATGGTGTAGCTCTGCTGCCTTCAAGCCAGTCCTGCCCTTACGGAGTGAGGAAAGTGAGGGCAAAACCAGTGTTTACAGCTGCTTACCAAGAGGAGAAAACTCTCATAACCAGTATTATTCTGGCACTAATGGCAATGTGATTTTTTCTGGATCCAGTCTGGTGAAATAAAAAATGCAACAGCTGCTGAGATCCAAATTCAAGTCTCCTGCTACAATGGCTAGTACCTTCCTAAGTACCTAAAGCAGCATCAGCTTTGTTCCTTGTACAGCGTTAGGTGTCTCTGATGGTGTCTGCGACGCACCGAGTGTCTGTGATCAGCTGCTGAAGAGGAAATGCAGAGCCCTGATATGCAGAGCTGCCTCCTAAGGAAGAGGCCAGTGCAATCAGCAAAGTGTTGAGTGCTATCAGTTTCCTCCGCCACTAGCAGGAATCAAGGGCACAGCTCGGGACCTCACAGGCTCAGGCTTTTGAGGAGGAATTTTCTACTTCCTTGCTTTTCAAATATATAGTGCTCAGACCAGAGATTTCCAGACCTTACTTCAGAGGTGATGGGTGGACACATCCATCCTGAAAATGTGAGTACAGTCCCTGATCTGGAATTTGAACACCCCATTTCAGAGAGTATAAAAAGCCTACAATATTATTGTTATTATTATTTTTAAATATAAGATCATTTGCACATTTTAAGTTTATGCCTAAATTCAACAGTGCTAAATCCTATAGGAAGAATCAAAGAAAAATTTTCACTGACCACTACGGAGATTTGACTAAGATCTGCAGAAATCATCTCAAAGAGATTTGAATATTAAAATGGCAAAAATTCAAACCTTTAAACAATGTCTGTAATCATCATCTCGAGGCTCAGGGGCAGATTCCTCTGTGTTTTATGGGGTCAGACAAATCTGCATGGTTACCCCACAATGTCAGTGGAGATACACCAGCTCAGAACTGGGCTCCAAACGTTTTGTGATGCTCTAGTTGGGACCTGATACACACAAGACCTAAGGAGAGCTCCTGGGATAGTGTCCAGACAGGACCTGAGGTGCATAACCTTGCCAGCTCTTCTGTCTTTCAAATGGGGATGAGAAAAGTGTCTTCCCTCCTGGCTGTCTGGTCCTCCACTTTCTTTCCATGTTCTTCTGCTCAGCCTGCTCCTCTCCACTGATGCACCTTTCTACTCATCTCTGCCCCTTGTTTCCCATGGCTCCTTCAGCTCCCTACCTCCCATATTCCACTCTTCTGGCTCTGTCCTCCTCTGTCTCTGTCCTTCCCTGACTTTACAACTTTGTCCTTATGATTCCCACAGCCTTGCCTTGCCCTCAGCACCCCTCTCACTTCCTTCTCCTCCCACTCGCCAGCCTGGGCTCTGTTGCTATCTCTGCAGGCGGAAACCCCGCTGAGCTTTTTCCCACCACAAACTCCTCTGACCAGTGCCCCAACTTGTATGTAAGCACTGTGCGCCATGCAGGTAGGTAGGATGGCATGTGAAATCCAGCACAAGTTCGTTGCTTATTAGGCTGCCCTGTGTGAGCAGAGATGCTTCCTGGAAGCATGTGGGGACACAGAGAAGAGCCCACGCCAGACAAAATCTGCAGAGATCCCAGATTTTGTCAGTGGGAGTGGCTGAGTTAAGAGCTCTGCACAGTGGCTATTCTTAGCTACCAAAGGAGCATCCCAGTAGTTGCAAGAGGAGGAGCTCTGAGCAGAGAATACGATGTTATAAATGGCTAAAGGTTTCAAGGGAAAAGGCACTTGCCTGCAGTGCTTTCCCCCCCACCTCCCCCGCTGTGGAAGATACCTCCCTTGATACTTTCTCCCATCACCCTACAACCCTGCCTAAAAGTGACTCTCCAATCAAAGAGGTCTGAAGGTCACTGGAGGGAAGTACCAGGCACTCCCTTTCCCATCCATCTCATCCTCTCCAGCCAAGAGCTGTGGCAAGCTGAGCTCAGGATAAGAGTGAGCTATTGCTAAAGAGGATGGAGGGGCGTAGGGGCAAGGGGAGGAGTGTGACTCTGTTCCCTGCATCAGGGATGGCTGAGCTGTGCCAAGGGAATCTCATTCCTATGCATGCAGGCAAAATGGTTCCCACTGGAACCGCTCAAATAACAACCTGAAAGTTAGCAACCGTGTAAGCAATGGAAAAAGTCGCTTGTGGTATGGATGTGTCAGAAAACTGCTATGCAATATTAGATCCTCTGGCAGTCAAGGAGTGTGCAAAATAAGAGTCCTCTGCATGAGCCTGGTGGTCTGGCTACTGAGACCATGCGAGAACTGCACTGGAAGAGGTCCAGACTGATCACTGGTGTACACATGTGCTACTTCTGCTGACAGAGGCAGAAGTTGTGGTGATCCGCAGCACTGCAGTCTTTGATCCTAGCTTGGGTTGTAGCTGGTGAGGTTTAAGATTTAAAGCGCGGATCAGCTCCTTTCCAATTTGAGTCAATACAAATGCTATCAACCGTTTAAAGCCTCAACCTGAGGGATATATGGTTGCTGTTTCAAGACTTGTATGTTGCACAAGTTAGTCTTCCATGCTTTTGTCCAGTGGTGTGTCCTGCATCTTTTCCCATGTTGGACCACCATTTGTATTCCTGTGCTGTCTTTCCCTGAGGCTTCCTCCAGACCTGCCCCAGCTAACATCCAGGTTGTGCTGGCCCAGTAAATCCAGGTCAAGTACTTGTAAAGTGCAGGAATATCCTATGCTTCACCTCTACCATTTTTTTATATGTGGTTAGGGGCTGGTTTGGAAGCAGTTTTTCTAGCAAATAGCTATCTCTTGGTGTTTGTTTTCCCCCAGAGGTGACAGTTCTTATCCAGTCTGGTCTCCTTCACCTTCCCCTATCTACTCTGGTACTTTACCTACCACTGAAATGCAACCTGCCTCCAGGGCAAAAGAAGCAGCAATTTAATAACTTGGCATTGTTACCAGGGCCAAAGCTGTGGGGCTAAAAAGTCAAATTCTTCCTGGATGAAAGCATGGGGGGGACACACCTCTAGTACTCAATGAAAATCCTCAAAACAAGGCTTAAGGGGAGCTTAATTGAGACCTAGGCCTTTCCCATAGCTGTGTATTTCACTTAAAGCAACAGATATAAAATACAGCTAAAATTGAAAAAAAAAGTAAGAGGAGATTGAAGGGTTACAGACAGGCAGTAATTGAGTTGAAATGAAGTATCAAGGCTGTTCAGGAAGGTCTCAAGCAATTACTCATGCTTTAAAGATGAAACTCAAACCCAGGCAGTCATCCCCTGCGAGCCCCGTTTACTTGACTCTCGTTTGTGCCACGGGTCACTAGTGTGCATGGCTCTGACCCGCAGCCTTTGAGCTCAGGCACCTGGGTGAAACCCCTCCCCGAGAGGCCACTGAGGGGAAATAGAAAAGGAGTTAGGTCTTACTTAGAGATAAGTGAAGGAATACCTGGAAGGACTTGATGAAGGTCCAAAGCAGCGTCCGGATGCCCTCCCCTCGGCTCAGGAGCTTCACGAGACGCATCACGCGGAAGAGTCGGAAGAAGGTGATTGAGATGCGAGAGTTTTCCTCTGCGTTCTAGAAGCCATTGGCACAGAGGCAGGAGTTACAACAGCACGGGAGGAACAGGGGCCCTGGGCCACAGAGGATGCTATGCCGAGAGCTCACTGCACTGTTCCTTGTCCTGGTACCGCTCCCTGGGCTTGCACTGCTCTGGCACCCCAGGGATGGGCTGAGGCCGGTCAAGCCTTCCCTCTCTCCCATGGTGGTAAGGCTACTCTGTGGGGGCTCTCAAGGCCATCGGCCTCTCTCTTCAGGTCGCCTGGACTTTTGGGGATTAGGGATATTTATGCTATAAACCCTTCCATTACATCTCCTCCTCCCGTCGGAAAGATGCAATTCTCCTTTGACGTTGTACTAGAGAAGAAAGATACTTTCTCTCCTGACCTGTCTTGGATGTTTTACCCCAGCAAGTGCCTCAGCCAGCAGTTCTGGTGAATCTGGTGTCAGGCATCAGCCACGTGCCACTTGCTCTGCTGGGAAACACTAGCAGGTCCCAGGTCTGCTCTGGGGTGCGAAACCCCTCGGGGGCACGGTGTGCAGCCCCCTGCCCAGCTGCTGGCGTCACTGGCACCGCTGGCAGCCTCGCTGTCCCTGCGCTGCTGTGGCCGTGCTTCTGGGGGCCGGGCCGTGGTCGCTCGCTCCCGCTGCCCTGTGTTCGGGCCTTTTGCATTTCTCATGACCCCTTTGTATTTCCCACAGTCTGCGCACTGACTTTGGTTTTTTTAAAAACATTTTATTTTGGCTTCACTGCTACTGTTCAAGCGTGCAGTATTTTAAAATAGTCTTTCTTCTGGGCTGTTTTTTTTCTCACAGCATCTGCTTTGTCCCTAAGCATTTTCCCCTGGGCCTGTAACCAGCTCTGACGTTCCTCAGCCTTCACACGTGTGAAGGCAACGTCCGTCTGAGCGCTGCCACGGCAGCAGGCTCACCTGGGCCTCAGCGGAGGACCCGCTGCCTAGCTCAAGGGGAGGCGAGGCACAGAAAATGCCATGCTTCCCAGTTCGTTAACCCCCTAAAATACTGTGAGAAGCCTGTGGAGCTGGTGGTTTCCACTAGCAGCACTGTGGGAATGTGACCTCCTGTCACAGGGGGGAGATAACACTGTCACCCTGCCACTTGACCTGCTGTGGAGTGAAGTGCATGGAAACCCCCTCTCTGTCCCCACCCAGGCTGCAAAGACCACAGTTTGATTCTAAATGCCACCAAAAGAGCAACATTTAGGAGGAAGAAACAGTGCAGATCACCCCCGCTGTTAACTACTCACCACTGTGTAAACCAAGAGAGAACAGACCCTTTGGATTTCCTGTCATCAGGCAGTGAAAAGAGCAGCTGCTTGCCTGTCTGCTCCTGATAAAACCCACGGCACGGGAACCGCACGGACCTACGTTTCTGGGATTAAACGTCCAGATGAGGACGTGTACCTGTGCGCTGCGTGTGCTCCTGTTTCCAGCCCAGGATGAGCAGAGGGGTGCTCAGCTCCCTCAGCCCCCAGCTCCTGCTGTGCAGCCTGGGGGGCACACAGGGGCCACAGCTGCTTGCTGGTGTGCGTGCACCCTGCTCGCACAGAAAGCGCAGCGCTATGTGCAATAGTTCAGGATTGCATCCTAGCTGCAGTTTGTCTGTCTATCTGTGGTGAATCACCGGTGGATATTTTGGGTAGCTTCCTCCAGTCTGCAGCAGAAGCTGACGCTTGCTGCTCGTGCAGTAACTGGGTGAAAAAGATTAGGAGAACAGGCTGTGTCAAGGAAAAGCCTGAGTGCTCCCTACATCTCACATCATTCTTGTTTTCTGACTTGGACAACAGGCTGGGGTCTTCAGTGAATCAGAGGGAATTGCTCTGAGGTGAAGGAGGGAATGTGGCCTCCAAGGAATCAAAAATCATGACATTCAGTGCTCTCAGCACTACAGTCCCAGAGGCCTAACTCCAATACCACCTAAAAGAGAATTGAGGTCTAAATTGAAAAGTTGTGTGGACAGCAGTACTGCTGTGGTTGTGACAAAAAAAAAAAAGAAAAAAAGGAAAAAAAATGCTTTCTTATTCTACCTGCTGCTGCTCTTGTCGGCTTGGCCCTTTGGATGGCAGCAAGTTGGACATGCATCTGGACAGAGGTTTTAGTGTTCCTTTGTCTTTCTTTGCTGAGAGGATGCAGCTGCTCTAGGCAGAAAATTATCCCTGTCCTCCTAGGGTCCTGGAGTAGGCAAAGTCTAAGCAGCGGATAAAATAATAGAACACATTCCTCCCTGACACAAATCTGCAATTTACTGGCATCAAACACTTAGTCAAAACCACTCAGTGATGCCTCGGGATATTATGGCATTTTAAGACAAGGTGGCTACAGATTAGCTGGTGCTTGAGTAGCCTTGCTTGCTTTCTCCTGGCTTTCCTCCAGCTTTTTGAAGGTGTATGCTTGCCAGAGGAGGGAGGTTCTGCAAAGTGGCAATCAAGAGACTGGAGTTACTGTAACTCTGTTGGGGTGGTGTGGGAACTGCCCTGTACACCAAGGCAGCAGAGTTTGTGTGCACCATTGCATGACTCTTTTTTTGTGCAAAGTATGAACTCAAATGTTACAGTGAATCACCGCATTGAAGAGGAACTTAAGAGTCCCAATCCTTTCTAGTCTGGAGGCTTGGACATGAAGGCACATTGCACACTCATTCAGTGTCACATTGATAGTGACATAGTTTGTGGCTAACAAGAAATCTTACCAGGTCTAGTTCTCTCTTGGTGATTCATTAGAAGGCAGAACGACAGTTAACTTGACCAAAGGAAAGCTCAGGATGCACAAGAAATACACATGTGCAGCATATTCACAGCTCATGTGAACACCAGACTCACACCAATACACAACATGGCAGCTTCATGCACAAATAACTAGGCTGGGCTTGGAGAGAGAACTCGTGATCACGGGGAAGAGAATAAAGGAGTGTGTTAGAAAGAGTGTCACAGAAGCTGGGAGGGTGGTCTGTATTTTTGGTCTTACCATAGAGGAAGAGCATTGGGTATGTTCAGCTGGCTTTAAAGAAAGGCAGACAGAAATAAGCTGTAATAAGTCTCCAATCAAGAGCCCTAGTAAACTAGGTCTTGGCTAACACAGGAGCAACAAAATGGCAGAAGAGGGCAAAAGGGTGTTTGAAAGAAATGCACAAGAGGCTGGGCTTATTCCCTAGGATGCCCAGGATCAAGGCTGGCCATGGCAGAAGTAGGTACAACTCCCATTGAATTTCATGTAAGCTGTATCCACTACCACCACGTGTGAATTGCACCCAGTATCTTGTGAGTGCTAGACATCCTGGCATCCAGGCAGTGGAGGTACTGATATTGTTAAAATGTTTCTTGTATCACTACTATCAAGTTCGATACAGGGGCTGATTTAGCTCCCCAACTCAGATCTAGGCCATGTCTGCACAGGGACCAGCCAGCTTCTGGTGCATCAGTCTGATTTGTAAACCCATAGTATCCCAGTGCTAAAGCAACACTTTCTATTTATACATCCCCATTCCCTTACACATAGTTCTGGGTGATAATGTTGTTGTTACTAAGACAATGGGTTGGGACAGTCTAATCAGTTGTTGGCAACCCTACAACACCCACCACCAGCTGTGGAAAGTGGGTTGGTAAAGCTCATTAGCTTGCTGTACCTTCACCCACCTCTCACCAAAGCTCCAGGGACCCAATGGATGTGTCCTTGGAGGCCAAGCTGAGCTGGGGTGAGCCCTGGTCATGCCTGGAAGAGTCTAGCTGCTGCAAACACTCTGCCTGACATTCCTTGATTAAATTCCAGGGCCATTTCCAATACTGAGAGCAATTCTAAAAACCACCCAAGGCTGCAAATACCCTTAGGTATAAGAAGCAGAACTGAAAATTAAATAAAACCAGCTTTATCAGGAGTCCTTCAGTTCAGTAGTAACATAATCCTTCAGGCCTAACCTCTACCATATGCCCCATATGCCAAACCTGTCTGTCATTACTTCCTGTGACTACATTAGCAAAGCTGAAATTGATGTATTTTCCCTTCTGCCAATGGCAGAATTCACCTCTAGTGCCGTAGAGAAATCCTGCAGTGTGCTTCTGATCTCCAAGGATGCTGCAGTAACCACATTGGCCTTGTATTACCTAAATAAAAACTGTAGTTTGGATGCACAGCCTATTTGGTGATATAGGCAAATGAGAACAATTAAAAACCGAAGGTGCACCTAATCACATAATAGTCTTTTGGATTAACTCATTGGTTTGGTTGTGTCAGCTTTCATTGCTTTTATCCTCCTCTTTCACATGTTTGCTCTTGTGTTTTCTTTTCAGATCACATACAGGCAAAAGTTAGCTTGAATACCAAATAAAGGAGTGGTGCCCATAGAGACATTTCTTACAAACCAGGCATGGATTTTGATTTTGTGTTGCTGGGCAAACATCTCCTTTCCAGCAAAGAGTTTCTCTGTCCCATCCCCCTTCCTCTTTCTAGTTTTGCAAATCATCTTTTCTAACAATAGAAGGACTCTTATTCTGCTAGTTGCTGCTTTCCTGGTAGAAGGTACAAAGCCCCTTCAAATTAGCTGAAGGAAGCCCAAAAATTTTCAGCACCTTTCAGGATTCTCCATCCTTCCTGGCTGACAGTGTTGGTGCATCTGTGACTGACTGGCTGAAGAAGTCTTGTAAGTTACTGTGGAATATTATAACTTAATTTTCATTTTGATATTGTTAGTATTTTATCAGAAAGTGCAGACAATAGTAATGTAACAGTAGAAAAATCTGTATAAAAGCATATGACTATATAAGGCTCTGTTGATACCAGATGCTCAACTCAGAGGAACTGGCATCACGTTGAAAAACCAGAAACCAAAGGTTCTGAGTATCTTTGGCACTGCTAAGAAAATGAAGTAGAGGTTGACTTACTCCTCTCTTATTCCCGCTAACTGGCCTGTGTTTTAAGATGGGGTCAAATATGTAACAAATTATATCACTACCTACAGTAAAGTCTCAAAAGCAGCATGGGAAAGTTTCCATTAACGCTGGAAGTGGTATTTGTACAAACTGTAGCACTGTGGGCTGAGGTTCCTGATATGCTTGTACATACAGTATTTTGTGCGTGAGTATATGAAGGGGAAATCAACCCCCAGCTGTGGGTTGCTGAATACATTTCCTGATATCCACAAAGGTTTCAGAGAGGAGCCAAATCCTACCATTTTCCACCTGTGCCAAAAAGTCACCATATGGACCTAAGCACAGATATTTGAGAACCCTTTAGTGGGTCTTTCAAGTGTAGCCATTCCTAACTATAAAGCCAAGAGAGCTATTGCTAGATTTTCTGAGAATCTTCAAGCTTGCAAGTGATGCGGATATGCCAATTTTAGGGCAAGGACAGGCACCTGGCACCTGAGAGCGTAGAAGTCACATCAGTTCACAGGGATGGAGGCATGGTGATAGGTACTTGGAATTAAAGTCAGTGTCTAATGCCCATCTGAAGTGGACAGAATTTCATTTCTACAAATCTCAGAACAATGTACAAAAGCAAGTCCTCATCTGTTTAATGTCTTTGAAAGAGCTTTTGGAGAAGCTACACCACTTAACAGAAGGCAGCCTTGGCTGTATTCTGTTTTACTTGCAGCCACCTCTTCTCCTGCATATGGTCTAACCTGCAAAGGAACTTCAAGTATTCTACCCTGCTTCTGTCATTTGGGGCACGAGTAGCATGCACACAACTGAATGAGAAAGGGCAACAACAATAACAGTGAGATCAGTCAAGAGATGACGCTTTGCACAATTTCCATTATAGAGAAAAGGGACCTGAAGTATAAATCACAAACAAGCCCAGGAGCATATTAAGAATGACATAGAAGGGAACCTGCAGGCTCAGAGTGGGCAAAGAAATATCTGAGGCAGGATGTGTCTGTGTAAAGACACTCAATGGGGATGAATGCAATGAAACTGCTTGGGCCGTTTCTTTTTCTTTTTTTTTTTTTTCCCCCTCTTGATGTCACCATATTGAAAAAGCTAATAGAGATGCTAAGGAGCAGAAGAGGTCAAGAAACAGAAAAGCAGGCTCTAGAAGCCAAAGTAAAGATGCAGTAGGATAAAGACTGAGGGATCCCTGAAGCGTGTCTGAAAAGCTCTTCAGAATATTGTTGCCTACACATATCAATTATTTTCAATGTGTAGCAGAGCACCAACATTTTAAATGGACACATTGCTCGAGCTGCTGATAACCTGCGTGCGTTCTTAAAACTCCTACAGGCACAAAAGGCGCAGCTTATGCCCATCATGAATTCAGGATCCCAGGTAAGGAAGTCTCTGGGAAAGGAAACAGGTTTATTCAATGGAGAGATACTTAAATTCTTTGAGACCACAGCACCGAATAAGGCAACTGATAGTACTGTGTTCCTGCTAATCGTGCTCCACCTGGGTAGGTGGGAGTAAGGTTTACTGGTGGCTGTTTGCAAAGAACACACCACCTCCAGATGGGTACAGCGAGCATCAGACTCGCATATCAAACTTGGTGTCTGATCTTGCCATCAAGTCAAGGAAATAGTTTTTAACAGGTTGCGTTTATGGATTTCCAAATCCCGACTATAGCATGAATGCTTTGGAAGCTAGAAGAGGATAAAATTTGTACTCCAGGAGAACCAGTTTCAATGTTTCAAGGGCAATACATTACAGGCAATATCATACAATGTTTATGCTGTAATGTAATCCATTTGAAATTCTGAGAAGGGATGAATTGACTCTTCAGAGGTGTAAAGACAGGAGCAAAAATATGAGCAAAAAGACTAAAGACTTTGTACCATCATGGTAGTATCAACTCCCTCTGAAATATCCATGGCTTAGAATATCTTCTGGATAGGTAAAGATTTAGAAGAAAAAATAAGGTGTGCTAATGAATAGATTCAAAGGAAAGTTTCAGTAGAAAAGTCCTGAGAAGAGATATCAATCCCACCTCATCCCTGTGGAACACTGGAGATGGAGGACCATGCTGAGACATTTGAGTTCCCTGGAGTCTTTGGCTGGTTTGCTGACAACTGTAATGGCTATCCAGAGAAGCAGCACCTAGAAATGCCAGAATTTAGGCATTTAGTTCCGTTAGGTTTGTACAGCATATATTTAATCAATATATCCAAAGAGGCTCCCTGACTGATGGCTAAGTACGTTTCAGTAGTTGTAGAAGCCTGACTGCCACTGAGATGATGGTACAGGCAGGTGGCATTCCCATTACCAGCACTGTTGATGGTAGTAATTTTTTTACACCACAGGACATGTGGAAGATGATGAGTTCAGCTCCTTCAGAAGATCCAGTCTTTTCTAGGAAGTCCAAACTGATTTTTTTCCTGATGTTTGAGGCATAAAACTTCCTTGCTGATAGTTTTTTTTACTTTCTAACAAGATTTCTTCCATTTGTAGGGAGGAATCTCTTTTTGCAAGACAGAATCCAACCTTTATGTTGTGGAGAACTTCGGCCTGGCTTGCTTTGCAGAACATTTAAGTAGCCGAATACACAGTGTTATTGTTGCTTTGTTTGTCAGGGTTGTCTCAGTCAATGCAGTGATACAACGGCAGACTTCTAATTTTACCTGGTAGCCCTAGGTTTGAAGACATGAGAGGAAATCTGTGTTTGAGACTTTGGCACCATGATATGACAGAGTATCTTCATATTTCTCAAGAAAACAAATGGTCAGATGCTTATGTTGCCTTTTGTGACAAATAATCTATAATGGCATTTGTCCACTGAGGAAAATATGGCTTGTGGATGAAGCTCTTAGGAGACTACTTGCAGTAGTTGGTGGTTGGTGATGGATGTCTGCTAAGATGTTTCCTTGATTGCTGTTGGTATTTGGAGAATGAAAAGTTACCCATAAAGATGCTGTATCTGTTGGAAACTTGTCCATTGGTCTGTTAGCCTTCTCCCCTGAGGAAGCAGGTGATAGATGTTTACTTCTTGCTTTTTTCTACTCATTGCAGGAAGGAAGACTCTGAGAATCTGCACTGTAGAGTTCACCTGAGAAGGCTGCAGTGCTGTGTAGCTCC